GCCGGGCCCGGCCGGGCGCCTCGCGCCGCCGGGTCAAGGCCGCCTCTCTTCGTCCAGAAGCAGGAGGGGGAAACGAAGGCAGAGGGATTAACGGGGCGCCTCGGACCCGTTTTTGTGGAAAGCTTCTATTTTACTACTGCGGAGAACATTTAAGACAGGTTTGCTGCAACATTTGTACAGTCTCGTGCTTCTTTTAAAATTTTATCTATCATGCAGCAAAACATAACTTCTCTGTAGTCTTTGTGCGTGAGAAAGAACGAGAGAAAATGATTTCGAGCGAATCTGAACGGTCTTCAGAAACTGCCTCTTCTTTTTTTTTTTTTTTAAGAAAAAACACAATATTTTTACCGAAAGTGTTAGCTTAAAGCACATATTTTTTTAAGTCGTGAATTGCTGGTGGGCTGTGCAAGAGTAACATGTGCATTTCTACGACGACCTCAAGGTGTCCTTCTTGTCCTGCGCATCTACGCCTCGCAGTTTACTGTCGCTTCTAGAAATAGACATAAAGTTAGAGTTCCTGCAGAACGTGAACGAAATTAACTTTTGGAACCCTTCACTCCATATGTTAGCACTTAGTCCAATCTCTTTTCAAGTTTATTTAATCTAATGTAAAATTTTCAAGCAAGTCTATCTTGTTACCTTGTTTACAACAGGAATTATTCTCTGTATAATATGTGAAATTCATTGCTTGATACTTTTGACCCAAAATTACGTTTGTTACAATTGAACTTAAATAAACTTCTCTAAATGAAAACAGCGTACGTTAAACCCGTAAGATAAAAATAGAATCGTGCAAATGTATTTGTGCTAAATATTTACACACAAAACCTAATGTAGCTAATTCGATGGCATATAACATTGATATGAGGCATATAATATTGCACATACTTATTTTCCATGTCAAGGTTCGTCCTTGACTTTCATTTACCTTGTGCATCTACTTTGAAGTTCTCCAATGCTTAGACAGCTTTTTACTGGGAATCGATATCAATAATCCTAATAAAATGCAATCATCATCTTTTCTTGTACATAATATATTGTGATACATGTTCATAAGTAGATTAGATAAGCACATTTTAAAATATAGGCTATGCAATTAACTTTAGTAAAACAATTTTTTTTTAAATAACGAAAGAAACCCCTTGTACTGAATTCTGCACCCGCTTATACACTGGTCACACGCTGCCTTTAGGTTGGCTTGGTTTCTTACATCTTCACGCTCCTGCTTGATTTTATTTTTAAAATTTTTTTATTTAAAAAACTTGTATTAAGGTATAATTGACAGGCAATATTCTAATAGGCTCCTGACTGATTTTCAGTGTCTGAAGGACACATCCTCAATTGCTTTCCATTCGACTCATTTATCTTGTATTCACCCTTCTCTTCTTTTTTTAATTATACACATCGAATTGGCGATTAATCCTTACATCACCGTGTAGTACCTTGTTGCTAACATGTGAAGAGAGTGAGTCTCAGAATGAAGCAACAGTTTCAAATTTATGCTGTTTACTTTCTGTCTCTTTACTTACTCATGAGAAAAGCGTGGTAGAGAATCATGTTTTGAGCACCACAAAGAAATAAAGCTTGCTTTCCCTTCTCTCCTTAGTCATGTAAATTCTTCTGCCTCAGTTTCTCCAACTGAAATTCGACCAGTTGCCACGTACTGGATCATGTAGTTAAAACATGCGGTTCTCATGTTCGGTAGATGGGTGTCACATGTGTTTCTTTTATCTGAGCTGCTGCAAAATACTTAGAAATAGAGCCCTGGAAACTTCTGTGAGTTTAGAAGCAATCCTGGAAACGTTTTTCTTCTCCATGTGAGAAGCTGTGGTCAGACAGAGAGGGCGTTGGAAGGCCCGTTACTCTGTGGCGTATGTATCAATCAGAATCAATCCGAATCGATCCGAATCAATCCGTATCAATCAGTATCAATTAGTATCAATGAGTAGAGCCACTACACTGGAATAGAGAATTATAAGTTTACAATTCTTATCTTAAAAAAGAAAGTAGTGATTTGCAGACCCACGTCGATGACTGTGGGCTGCATTCCTAA